ACCTGTATCTACCTACCACCTGTCAATCATCTCTCTACCTCTGTCTGACCTGTATCTACCTACCACCTGTCAATCATCTCTCTGTGACCTGCCTGTCATCTCTGCCTCCTGCCTACTTTCTCTGTACCTGTGTCTCCTCCATTCACCTCCGTCCGTGATGCGAGTGTCCTCATTTATTTTTTTTAAAGAATTTTAATATTTATTTTTTAGTTTTTGGCGGACACAACATCCCTGTTTGTATGTGGTGCTGAGGATCGAACCTGGGCTGCACGCATGCCAGGCGAGCGCGTTACCGCTTGAGCCGCATCCCCAGCCCAAGTGTCCTCATTTATCTGCTCAACCTTTGTTGGAGCTTCAGTGTTTCCACTTCCTAAAGAGCACTTGTAGAGTCTGTCCTTTGTGGCTCTTCTAACGTTGCTCCCGTTTCCTGGGAGAACAAAGTGCCGTCTGCCCTCAGCACAGCGAGGCCCTGTTCATCCTCTGGTATTTCTGAAGTGGTGGCGCGTCCTGTATTTTCTGGCTGGCGGTTCAGGTGATGATCTCTCAGTCTCTCCGAGGCACATGAGGAACAGTGCGTGCCATGCCAGCAGCACTTGTGCCCGGGAGCCCCACCCATGCACTTTCCTCCTAGTGACAGTGCAGGATGACTCTCAGGCAGGAGGGCGTCCTGAATGTGACCATTCTCACCCAAATCCAGGAGGGGGGACATGGGGATGAGCAGAAGCTGGGACTAGGGACAGAGAGGGCGGAGGCTGCTGGGAAAGATGTCCCTCAGGAGAGACCTGGACTCTGGCAGCCATCTCTCCTCAGGCCACTCATGGCCTGGCCCATGGTTCCTTGGCAGAGGCCCATGCGGAGAACACTCAGCAGGTGAGAGGGCCCATCAGGGGGCGGGAGTTGGAACTTCAGGTCCTGGATTCATCCTTCACTCAGACTCTTGGGTGAAGAGACTCTGCATTTGTATTTAAAACGATTTTTTCCAAGGGTTTGATATCTGAAAGCCAGGTCGGAGGTAGGTGTGGCAGACACTGTCAGCCCCTTCTGACAGCAGAGGGACAGATCTGGAGGGGACAGAGGGGAGGCTGACAAGACTAGACTCTGAGCCAGTGCATGGCCATGTCTGCGACCCTGGCCACCAGGGAGGCTGAGGCAGGAGGATGGCTACTTCCAGGCCAGCCTGAGCCACTTGCAAGAACTTATCTCGAAATGAAATAAAACGAGCTGAGGTGCAGCTTAGTGGTGGACCACACCTGGCTCCAATCCCCAGTACAAAAACCCAAATCAAAAACGAAGAGAAAGGTACTGGTGCAGCAGTGGGCAGAACCCAGTGCTGTTCGGCAGAGGCCGCGGCACTGCAGCCCTGGACAGCAGCAGAGAGTCAGCTGTGAGCATGTCTGCCTTCCTGAGCCGCGCTCTGCGGGGGGCATGGCCACTCCTCAGGGCTTCATCCCTAGAGGTGAGGACTAGTGGACGCTTGTGCAGCCCCTGGGCAACAGAGCCAGGACTCAGGTTCCAGCCTCTGGCCAGAGCGAAGCCGCCAGGAAGGGAGCTTCAGCCCCTTCCTTCCCCTGCAGGCCATGCCCAGAGCCCCCCTCCCCGGCTGCACCCTGTGCTCCAGGTTGGGCTCTGGTGGGAAATCAGCTCAGGGTCAGCAGGCCCCATGGTCGCACGGCTGAGCACAGCACAGACGGGCCGCAGGACCACAGCAGCACTTCGCCCCGGAGCCACCCCACCCACCTGCTCTTACCTGGGGCTTCTCAGCAGGGCCTGGTGGGCCAGGAGGAGCGTGTCCAGCCCACAGATCCCCCCAGCGTGGGCCAGGGAGTCCCTGCCAGCACCTTCCTTGGGACACGTGACACTGTGTCTTCACCATCTTCCTCTTCCATTTTAGTGAAGCGCTTTCCAACAAACAGAGAAGTCAGAAGAAGAGCGAGCAGACTCCCAGGTACCCCATCCAGCTCCACACTGGCCACACCTGCCACCGTCTTCTCTCTCCCGCACCTGTGTGTTCACACAGACACACGCAGACACACACAGAGACACACACTCACAGATACACGCACAGACACATATGGACACACAGACACACACAAACATGCAGACACACACAGACACACAGACACAAGCACACACAGACATAGGCACAGACACACAGACCACAGACAGAGTCGCACAGACACAGAGAAAGACAGAGATGCGCAGACACACAGACACACAGACGTGCAAACACACAGACACAGGCACAGACACACAGACTCAGACACACAGACTCAGACACACAGACATGCATAGATACATGCAGACGCAGACACACAGACACAGAGACACATGCACAGATAAGCACACATGCACACACAGACACATAGACACACAGACTCATGCAGACACACAGACACACAGACATGCATAGACACATGCAGACGTATAAACACAGACACAGAGACACATGCACAGATACGCAGATACATACACACACAGACACATATAGACACACAGACTCATGCAGACACACAGACATTCACAGACATGCAGAAGCAGACACACAGACTCATGCAGACACACACAGACACACACAGAGACAGAGACACACAGACATTCACAGACATGCAGAGGCAGACACACAGATGCATGTAGACACACACACTTGCAGGCACACACAGAGACACATGCAGACACAGATGCAGACACAGACACACACAATGCATGCAGACAGATGCAGACACACAGACACATGCAGACACACAGACATACTCTCAGCCCCAGGAGACAGACACACGCAGACCCACAGATGTGCATGTGGACACACTGAGGCACAGACACAAGCCAGCACCGTGCAGACACACCTGCACCTTTTCTGAACCATTTGAGGATAAGCCACACACCCTGTGTCCCTGGCTCACTGGAAACCAGTGGACACAGCAGGGTTTTGGTGGAGGTGGTGCAGTGCTGGACCGTCCCCAGAAGTCCCCTCCAGCCAGGAGTGTGCTGGCACAGCCCTGGGTGCTCTCTGCAGGGGACACAGTCTGATGCGGTGCTGCGGCCCGGTGCCTGCTCCCAAGCGTCTCGGTGCATGTGATGCAGTGGCCAGCTGTCCTGCCTGCCCTCTCCTGGCTCATGTCAAGTTCGCCATGCAGCTCTGGCTGCCCGGACCCTCCCGCCCATCTCCTGGGCATGACGGAGGGGCCAAAACCAGGGCTGCAGACTCTCCCCAGCTGAGCAGACACCCCCTGCCACTCAGGGTGGCGCGCACATGGGCGCAGGTGCCAGAGACCGGGGTGTCAGTCTTCAGCGTGACGTCCGTAAGGAAGTGCACCTGCAGGTTGCCTGGACAGCAGGTGCAGCTGGCAGACACCTAGCCACAGCGCTCACAGGAACAGACAGCCGCCACCTGGCTCTGCTGCACGGTCCCTCTAGATGCACTCACACGCTGACCAACACCAGGTGGAGCGGCTGTGCCCCTCACAGCCACTCACCAGGATCCCAACTCTGCCCCCTCGTCCTGGCTTTTAGAAAGCACTTTGTCTCATGGATTAGATGTCCCTTGGTCTCAGATCTAGTTTCAGATTTACTTGTAAATTATTGGGAACCTCGTTTAAAACCAATCTGGTGTGACTCAGTCAGTGGTGTAGCAGGTGCCTAGCATCCACAGGCCCTAGGTTCTCCCCCAGCACCAGGAAAACCCCCAAAACAAAGCCCATCTCATTTAAAAACTGTATGATTTATAAAAATAACTAATAAGCCTAGATCACCTCTGTTTTTCCTTTTTTGTTCTGGGATTTGAACCCAGAGGTGCTTAACCACTGAGCCATATCTCCAGCCCTTTTAGTCTTTGTTTTGAGTCGGGTCTTACAGAGTTACTCGGGGCCTTGCTAAATTGCCGAGTCTGGCTTTGAACTTGCGCTTCTCCTGCCTCAGCCTCCTGAGTTGCTGGGACCACAGGTGAGCACCCCACAGCCAGGGGTCCCCTCTCCTTTTGGAAGAACTTGGCAGAGGCTCAGTGGGAACCTGCCAGTGGGTCCCTGAGGAGAGGACAGGGCTTGGAGGCCAGTGGGTGTTGATCTGTGGATGGTGCTAGAGGGGGGACAGTCCTTGGGGGACACCCATTGGGCATGTTTTGTCAAGACCCAACGGGGCACTGAAACTGTCCAAAGCTGAGCTGACCAAATGGGACCATGTAGAGATAGTGGGCAGCCCCACAGGCGACACTGTCCCTCCAGAGTGACCAGGGAGGACCCAGGGGAGCCCAGGGAAAGCTGGGAGTCAGTCAGTGACCAAGGAAGAGGCTGTAGAGGAAGGCAGAGGCTGTTCCTGCCCCGGGCGGGGGCTGAGGGGCAGTGAGCCAGGGTAGAGCAGAGAGGCCTGCGTGGCTGGGGGGGCACACCGGGAAGAGGCAGCCGGAGAGCAAACACGGGGTCCCTGCCTCCAGGTGGGATGAAGCTGCCCTCTGCCTCTGAGTTCACAGCTCCAGGAAGGGATCATGGACACCATTACATGGACAGCAAGGGCAGATATGCCTGGACAGCAACTGTCCCCCCAGCACGTCCTGAGCTGGGCTCAAGAGGAGGCAGAGGGACTGTCCCCCCAGCACGTCCTGGGCTGGGCTCAAGAGGAGGCAGAGGGACTGTCCCCCCCAGCACGTCCTGGGCTGGGGTCAAGAGGAGGCAGAGGGACTGTCCCCCCAGCACGTCATGGGCTGGGCTCAAGAGGAGGCAGAGGGACTGTCCACCCCGCCAGCATGTCCTGGGCTGGGCTCAAGAGGAGGCAGAGGGACTGTCCACCCCGCCAGCACGTCCTGGGCTGGGCTCAAGAGGAGGCAGAGGGACTGTCCACCCCGCCAGCACGTCCTGGGCTGGGCTCAAGGGGACGGAGGGACAGATGAGCAGACAGTAGGGCAGGACAACGTTGGTCCCCACAGTTGGGGAGAGGAGTGCTCGTGGGCAGAGAGCCGCCCCACAGCTCGTCCTGGGCGGGACAGGCAGTGGCAGCAAGCGGCCTGTCATGGGAGCCAGGTGCACCTGAGTGGCCTGAGGACCCGAGGTGTGCTGCAGTCAAGGTGTGTGCAGAGCCTCCGCGGAGGCCCGGGGCCATGCGGAGCCTGCCCCAAGCTCCCCTGAGACCTGAGGGGACAGCCGACGGCGCTGCCCGGGGGAGGGCCGGGTGGGGGTCATGGCCGTTGACAGCCGCAGGGGAAGTCAGGACCTGGTGCAGGACAGTCCGTGGTGGGGGCCGCAGACTGGTGGAAGCTGAAGGCACCCTGGGTGGGTGTGCGGAGCTGGGCGTGTCCAAGGGTGGCTTCTCGGTCCTCTTGTTTTAGACGCCCTCTCCCGCCAGCCGGCGCTGCCTAGACCAGGAGTGTCGTGGTACGCCATGTTCATGTCGACCTGCAGGGTGGGCTCCGTCCATCCTGGCCGGGCTGCAGCTGGCCCCTGTGCCTCAGGAACGTGCTGAACAGGCTCAGGCTGTCTGCTGGCCACTGCGGAGCAAGCAGCCTGTGGGCAGCTGTGGGCCTCAGAGCTGTCTCGCCCTCCAGTGCAGGCCACAGGGGCAGGGAGGTCCAGGGAGAGGCAGGGCAGAGGGGGGGAAGGGCGGCCCTGTTTGCAGCCAGGCATCCAAGGAGGGCTTGTTCCCCGTCCCCAGGCATCTACCGCTCTGTCCAGGCACGCGTGGGCCCTGGGGTGACCAGGAGAAGGAGACACGCTCCTGCCCACGGGCAGCCTGCACTCCAGTGGCCCCGAGAGAGGCAGTTTCACTCCTTTGAAATCACAGCAGTTTCAGGAAGTGGCCGGTGTGGTGACCGTGGCCACCCAGTCATGTGCTAGAGGTCAGCCATGGTCGTAGGCTCTGCGACCACCCGGGAGAGGACCCGGGAGCCGTGGCCTGAAGGGGCAGATGTGCTGAGGCGGAGGGACTGGTACAGAGGCCCTGGGGATGAGCTGGGCGCAAAGAGTCCATGGACAGCCATCAGCTGCTGGTCACCAGGAGGTGTGGGCAGGAGCTGGGCCTGCAGACCAGGGAGGTGGCCTGCAGGGGAAGGAGCCCTGCCCAGCAGTGCTGTGGGTGGCCAGAGCACAGGGTAGTGGAGACCGCAGGAAGGAGACTCTGGGCAAGTAACAGTCCTTAAGCATGAGCCACTCACTAAGGGGGTGCTCACGGCCGACAGCAGCATCTTACGCCTCTGTGAATGACCGTCCTCCTGCCGCTGGGCCTGGGGTGAGGTAGCCATGACAGGCACGAGGCACGGCCTGCTCACCAGAAAAGAACTCAAGGCACTGGCCTCATCCCCGAATCCCTGTCCATAAATCTCACCACAGCACCTGACCCGCCGTCTCTTGGAGGATGGTGAAATCATGGGAACGTTCTGGAACTCCCCCAGGGCTGACCCAGGAAGCCCTCTGCTGTGTCCCCAGGGCAGTTGGGCTGACAGCCAGAGGGGCGCCACCTGTCTGCTCTCTGGGGGCTGGCGGCTAGGCAGAGCCCGGCTGGCTTCACCACTGTCTCAGATGGCCTCGGTCAAAGGCCACGCAGCCTCAGAGCCACATGACTCCCATGGCCACAAAGGACCCTCAGGCAGTCCAGTCCAAACAAGTGGCGCTCACCACCAGAGGGGTGCAGTCGGGTGCCGGTGGATGGGCCTCCGCGTGCAGCCCAGCCCTGCTGCTGCGGCGCAGGTGGGAGGGCACATCATCAACCTGCGAGGCTGGGCCTCATGGCCCTGAGTCAGGCCACCAGAATGTCCCCACAGTGTGCTGTCAGCCTGGCTGTTATCCTAATGACTCAACCTGAGAAGTCAGCAAGACGCTTGAAATAGCCCAGCCACCCGCAGGCCAGCACTGTGTGGCCACACACTCCCTGAGGGCTTCCATCCTGGGTCTCCTGCCACCAGGTGAGGCTGCCCGAGCCGTCCAGGAAGCCAGGCCTCCCGCCCACCTCCGCAGGCTTGTGGCTCCTGGAAGCCCTCCGGGGACGACGTGTGGCCCAGCCTGGGCCCTGGGCTGAGGGCTGGTTCTGGCTGCTCCCATGGGAGGGTCTCAGGCCCACGACCCAGGGTCACAGACACGCCCTGAGCGAGGTCCTGTGTACACCCAGGGTGCAGACAGAGGCTGTCCCGAGAGACCAGAGCCATGGAGCAGGTGTGCGTGGCCAGTGTGAAGGACAGACCTGGGGCCAGGACACGTCTCTCTCAGAGCGCTGGGCTAGTCAGCCTTCCCTCACTGTGACAGCGGCCAGGGACGGCTCCTGTGGAAGAAAGGAAGGGGCAGAGGGAAGCAGCCAGACAGCAGGACCCGGTGCAGGAGGGCAAGAGCCCTGGGAAGGCTGGTGGGTGAGTGCACTCAGGGCCACGAGGACCCATGACTCTCTGGAGGGAGAACAGTCCCCGCTGCTGGTGCGGCAGAGCTAAGAAGGGGGCAGGCAAGTGGGCGTGTTCCCTGGGGACGGAGTGGTCGTAGCTCCCACCTGTGTGCCCGGGGCTGGGGTGCCCTCAGCCAGGCAGGACAAACACGAGGAGGACTTTGGGGAGCTGGGTTCGGGTGCCTGGGTGTGCCTGTGGGAACCCAGCTCTCAGCCAGGGACAGAGCTGAGCAGCTGCCAGGGGCCACCCCAAGGTGCCGAGCCTAAACGGCCACCAGTTAGAGGCTGCAATGTCTCCTCTGTAGCCTGGGAAACGCAGAGACATTGCTGACCCTCGAGCCAGCCCACTACCAAGGGTGCCACAGACCACAGCACTGTCTCCTGCAGAGATGGGGTGGGGCCTCAGCCCAAGCAGCTGTGCACACCCTGAGAGACCACTGCCCGGCACCGAGACCTGAGGTCCTCTGCCTTGGGGAGACTGGCGGGGGGCCCGGGGCAGCAGGGTCAGGGGAGCCCGAGACGGCTCTCTGGTGATGCCCGGCCAGGCCAGCCTCCTCTCTCCCCAGAGCAGCCTCCCAGGGACCCCACCATGTGGGAGGGATGTGTCCACAGAGCGCCCGTGGGGAGAGGCCTCTCCCACAGCCTGCTCATGGCCAGCAGGTCCCGAAAGCACAAGCAGGACACCAGCTATCCATAGCCACCCCGAGGCCTGCGCTCCTCTGTCTCTCCCAGAATGATGACCAGGGCAGTCGAGGGCCAGTCCGGGTGTATCTGCCCCCTGGGTGCGGTCACCTCTGCTGTGGTCATGGAGCTGCGGCACGTGGCTGCTGTGTATTCCGGCTGGAGCTCTCACTAGGCCGCATCCCTGCAGACGCACAGCCATCTGAGGCCTGGGGAGATGGGACACGCCGCGAAGGCTCTGTCAGGGGCTTGGTGGCAGCACCGTGGCTGTGGCCGCTCCTCTCCTCGTGTCGCCTGCCTGCGTCTCCTCACTGGGACAGACAGCTTTGAGGGAGGGCTGTGTAGAAGACAGGTGCACTTTGGCTCACAGTCACTGAGGCCCAGTCGGTGGTGGGCTGGCCCTGTGGGTGGCTCGGGCCTATGGTGGCACTGGACACCACTCAGGAGCTGGAGGTGATCTCGTCACCTACAGCCCAGCTACTCAGGAGGCTGAGGCAGGAGGACCCTAAGTCAGTTCCTGGCCAGCAACATGGCAAAGTCTTGTCTCAAAAGAAAAAAGAAAGGCTGTTTCCCAAGGCACCTCCAGGTCCGGGAGGGAGGCGTCCTCTGGGGCCTGAGGACAGAGCCCTGGCCAGCCTGGGGCCCTCTGCTCCACGCTGAGATCCTGCCCCAGGACGGGGTGGTCTCAGGGCCATGTCTCTGCAGCCACAGGTGCTCGTCCATAAGGTGAGCAGGGGACGAGGCCGCTCCCCTATCCCACCAGGGCTGGCTCCGGAACAGGTTTTTAAAAGGATGTTGTATGTGGCTTCCACAAACAGCAGAAAGGTGAAGTCTGTCCGTCTGCACGTTCCCCTGCAGTCTGTCTCAGCAGGGCCAGTCTCTGCTGCTCACTGCTGTGAGCGAGTGGAGTGTGGCCGGGCCCTGGGCAGTGCTCGTGCTGGGCACCAGGGCCTCTCAGCTCTTTAACACTGGGGTGGTGCCGTGGAGACCCTCATGCAGGACTGGAACCTTGTTCTGGCCTCTGGTCGTCCCCTAGAATGCACAGCCAGCAGGAGCGGCCGCAGTGCCTACGCCCTGGACCTGCCTTTCCGGGGCTGCCTCCGAGTTGTGAAGAGCCAGCCCTGCATCCAGCTGGGTGTGGGGCGGTGGGTGCCAGAGCCCACCTGCAGGCCCCTCCAGCCCGGGGCTTCTCTGGGAGCCCTCAGACCTCCACACTGTGACCACTCTGGGCACACATGTCCACCACAGCAACTCATGCTGCCAGGAGCCCGTGGGGCAGCCGTCAGCGGCTCTCTCGCACCGAGGCTCGGGCTGCAACTCAGGGTCACGTAGGAGGCACACGGCATTGGTGTCGTCTTTCCTATTTAAAGCTAGATGTGCGCACAGATGACATAGATTTTCATACTTGATTTTTTTGGCTTATTTGTAAAAGCAAAATATAACCTTTTTTATTTAAAAGTACCTGACATATGCAAAGTGGCTTTTCCAAACTGGGTTGGAGCAGTTGATGAGGGTGGAATTCCCACAGCCCTCAGAGCAGGAAACTTAGAAGTCAGTCTATTAACAGGGGACTGTGGCCAAGAAGAGCCACAGGCGAGGACGCAGGGACGGCCTCGGCCCACCCCGAGCTCTTCCTGCTGGGCCAGGCCCTCGGGGTGTGGGCCTCCCCGTCAGTGTCCTCCAGATAAGTGGTCAGTGCTGATAAAATGGGTCACCACCAGTTTTCTCCACGCAGGCCCGAGCGCAGCGGGAGCGGCGGTGGCCACACGCCCATGGAGGCACACGTCCTGAGGAGGAAGATCAGCCGCACGTGCGACGAGGGGGCCCGCGCCCTCCTTGGCAGCCTTCTGGCCTACGTCACAGACCGCGCAGGCGGGCCCCCAGGCCCAGCGGACCCAGGGCCCGCGGGGGGCTGCTCGCCTCCGTCTCAGGAGGCCGGCCGGAGGCCCACGCGCTTCCAGCTCCTACAGGCCAAGTTCATGGGCACCGGCCGGGAGCACCACCTCAAGAGGACCAGGGAGGTGGGCAGGCTCATCTCCAGGGACAAGCAGGGTCCCAGCAGGAGCCTGGTGAGTGCCACCATCAACAAACTGCTGGAGAAGACCCAGGCGGGGGCCAGCTGCCCGGGCCAGAGGCCCCTGGCTGGGGAGAAGCCCCGCTGGGCCCCCCCTGGTGGGAAGGGCACAGTGAAGCGCATCCTGAGGAAGTTCCTGGCTGCGGAGGAGAAGGAGAAGAAGGAGGAGAAGGAGGCAGGAGCGGAGCCCCCTGGCCGGCAGCCTGGGGCCGCCCGGGGCCTCCTGCCAAGGACGGGGGGCAGGAGCACCATCCTGCGCCAGCTGCGAGAGAGGTTTGAGCAGAGCGGCTGCCTCCGCTCAGAGGCCAGCCTGCTGCCCCTCCACAGGGAGGGGCGGAGGGGCCTGCAGAAGAAGACGCACAGGCCGGAGCTGCGGGTGCTGCACACCGCCACCATGGCCATCAGCTGTACCAGGACACCCCCTGCCCGCTTCCTGGCCTGCACGGCCGAGCCCCTGCCCGCCCTCAGCATAGCCACGGTGGTCTGCAGCCCCCGGAGCTGGCTGTCTCACTGCGCAAAGGTCAGTCACTTGGAGTCCAGGCGTTGGCCCAGGAGAGACATCAGCATGTCCCCGGACCCAGAGGGCACCGACCCTAGCAGGGACAAGATGCCAGAAACAGGGGTCTTGAGCCAGGAGTCCAGAGGACAACCAAAGCCCTCAAAGTCCTCCGTGACCCAGGTGGCCGCTCCCAGGGACAGTCCCCTGGCTCTGAACCCCACCCAGGGCATCCCCCAGCAGGACTCTGCCTGGGCCTCCCAGGAAGCCCTGCCTGACCACATGCCCCTGTCACCCCCATTCAGAGCAGCCAGCCCCAGGGGGGCTGGGCCAGCTGAAGGGGACAAGACAGCAGAGGGGCCGGCGGGCCGCCCCTGGGGGCTACAAGAGGAGGGCGCAGGGGAGGTCCCTGAAGTCACCATGACTGTGTGCAGTTCTGAGGACGAAGCAGAAGGCTCGCTCCCAGCCTCAGACAGAGAGCCCCTCTTCGCCACCCAGAGGCACCTGCCAGAGCAGGGGCCAGCGGCTCCCATCCCCCCGCTGGCCGCTCCCAGAGTCCAGGCTGCACGGCGAGCACAGCCTGCCCTGGAGTCTCCACCCCTCACCGTGCGGCTTCCCGTTGTCCACGAAATGCCAGCCCCTCCAGGGCCTCTGCAAAGCACGTGGCCGGGCGGGGACAGGCGGCCCCCGACTTCAGGAGGGCACACTGCCCGGGCCAAGGCAGGGGCAGTGCTTCCCCCTGCCACTGAGGACAGGGAGGCTGGCCTGGCCGCAGGGGGGCTGAGCCCCTCCTGCAGGACCTCCAAGCAAGGATCCCCAGAATCCCCGAGGGTCACTGCCCCCGTGGGCCCTGGGGACCAACAGCCGCTCCCGACGGTCCTGACGGCCAACTCTCCACAAGGTACCCCTGCTGGGAAGGGGAGCACACACAGCCCTGTGAGCGCCAGTGAGGGCAGGAACCCCAGAACTGCTTCAGGACAGGGTGCTCCTGAGCTCAGCTGCCAGCGGCCGCCCCCGTCTGACCACCCTGACCACGGCACCCCACCAGGTTCTTCCACCGGCGCGTGGAAAAGCCCTCCAGGACACAGCACCTGCTCCACCTCTGGCAGCCAGCAGGGACCCGGTTCCAGGGAGGGAGGCGCCGGGGCAGCCCCTGCCCAGGATTTCAGAGGACCTGAGAGTCCCACCACGAGTGACAGGAGAGTCCTGTGTGGGCAGGAAGACAGCAAAGGTCCCGAGGCAGAGGCAGCCCCGCCCCCGGGGATGGCCCAGGAAGATGCCCGCTATGATTGGGGCAGGAAGAGCCTGGCCCTGCTAGATGAGCCACCCAAGCCCAGTGGCAGAGCCTGCAGGGCCACAGCACCTGGAGGGAAGGTCCCAAGATCTACAGGGGACAGGAAGGCACCACCAGGGGACGCCTGGGTCCCCGAGGACAGGAGGGCACCTGCAGCGATCTCCAGGGACCCCGAGGACAGGAGGGCACCTGCAGGGATCTCCAGGGACCCCGAGGACAGGAGG